ATATATATATATATATATATATATATATATATATATATATATATATATATATATATATATATATATATATATATATATATATATACATATATATATATATATATATATATATATAAATTGTGGAAGGTTAGATGAAGTGTGTTACTGTTGGTTGCGCTTGTTTTGGACATAGAGCCTCTGCCGACTGGAGTGTGTCTGCGGTGACCATTCATGACTATCCAGTCATGTGTACCACATAGGACGCCATGCGCATCCCTGTGTACTGCTTAGGGTTCCTAAGGTTCAGGTTAGGGTTTATAGTCAGGAATTAAGGTTTCTAGGATATAAGTTAAGGTTTACAGTCAAGAATCCGATTTCTTGGGTTTAGGTTTGAGTTCAGAGTCAAGAGTCAGGGTTTAGGTTAGGGCTTAGGGTCCAGAGTTTGGCGTTGGGGCTTTCAGCGAGCACCCTATTTATAGTAGTCTTGGCCAGCCCTGTATTCCGTTGCAATACCCACATCCTTGGCATTTTTTTGTTCTATTTATATACACAGATAAATCCTCTCCTCGAACTCAGCCCACAACCGCTAGAACAAAGCCCGCGAAAAGCTCTAAGAGCAGCCGGTCGTCCAATCAGAATGCGCGAAAGCGTGCGCCACGACCTGATTCACTCCCGGAATCGCAGTTCCACTCGCAGATCTTCGGAGTACATTCCTGGGATGACTCCGTGCCCGATACACAAGCAGAGTCCTATACACACACGAGTACACATACACATGCACATACACACACACATCCTTTTGTACATACACGCACACATACAGATGCATATACACGAGAAAGGCCCGGTGTACGTACACAGAGGCATACAGCGGGTGAACAGGGGGACACAGTTGATAAGCATGGAATACCCGCACGCTCAACCACACCACCACACGCCCACGCACACGCACACGCACACGCACGAACGCATATGCAATCGCAGACGTTTCTGTCGTCCCAGGGATCAGATAACTCATTCAATGTCACGGACTCGTCTCAGGGCAACAGCTCGCCGCAGCACTCAGGTCACTCTTCACCACAGACACTCTCTCCACCCAAACCTGCACGCACAGCACCAACAGCAACAGACACACACACACTCACACTCACGCACACACACACGCATGCACACAATAGCAACAGCAACAACAACAACACCACCAACACCAACACCAACAAGGCAGACACGCACACACATACATCAGCAGGTGCTTCCACACGTGGTAGGGCTATGAACAAGCCTAGAGCCAAGGCCCAACCGGGACGGGCGGAAGCAGCCAGATGTATGGAGGACCACAGTCGAGTGAAGAGGAGAGAGCATCGTATGGGCCGTATGCTATACCCGCTGTCACAAGTGGAGTCTCTGGATTATTCACCCCAGGAGCCGTTAGGTGGACATGACTCACCGCCACCCAATCAGAGTGCGCAGACTTTAAAAGCGGCCAATCAGGAGGCACGGAAACGGAAGAGGGGCGTGTCTCCGTTTTCGTCCATGTCTGAGTCTGAGATGTTAGCATCTCCGGCCGCACAGAAAGGGCGGCCAGTAGAAAACGCCCACACACGCACGCACGCACAAGCACACACGAGCACAAGCACGCAGGGAGATGTGTTGAGCACGGATCAGCAAAGTACACGTGCAAGGAGAGGTACGCCTCAGGCTAGTAAGAAGAAAGAGATCAACCGCCGCCGAACCTCGTCTGAGATGTTCGGTACGTTGAGCTTCGAGAATGTGGTAGAGAATGGCAGCGATGTGAGTGGCCATATTAGCAACACACACATGCGTGCCAATGCACACACACATACGCACACACGCGCACGCACAAATGCTCAGCCAGACATACACGCACATGCGGACGCGGATAAACGCGCGGGCGCAACGACACATACGGCGCAGGCGTCTGCGAGAGGCGCTCAGGAGGACTCGCCGCCACAGTCGCAGTTTTTCTCGTCGCAGGTGTTTAGTCCGACGCGCGGGTTTGACGCAGATTTCAGCGTGAACTGGCAGGACACGCCGCCTGCCCAGAAGGTACCCAGAGAGCAGGGGAAGACAATTAACCAGGAACTGATGTGTACTACCGACCGCTCTATCGCTGGGCATGTGGGATCTGGCATACCGCAGAGTGATCTGAGTGACTCATCGCCGTTGTCACAGGACTGTGTAAGTAGCGGGGATGAGGATGCGCTCAACACTAGCATACATACACGCCACTCTGCACACACACACACACATACACACACAAACACACATACACGCCGGACCACAAGCAGTAATATGTACACGCACACGAGTAAGGTCCCAGAAAGCGCGAGCGTAGCTGAGGAATCTGAGAAGACAGCCGAATATCGGGCAAGACAAAACCAGCCGAAGTCACGTGATAGGGATGGGCAGGGCACACGGCCAATAACCCTCGAGAGCAGTGATGGAGACCACGAACACGTAGCTACTGGTGAGTATGTACGCGGACAGACAGGCACAAACACCTTCACAGAGGCCCGGGCGTCTACAAGCACGCGTGTGCGCGAGAAGACCTGCGAGGATGCAAGCGCAGGACTAAGGGGTGGCCAGCCAACACGTGACGAGACCCAGGCAGCAACAACGGAAGGACGGGACGAGGGCCATATAGCAGGCACACACACAGGCACATACACCGCTGCAGAGCCGTCTAAAGCGCGGGCACCGGTGGATGTGAACGCACACTCACACTCACTCAGTACACAGTGCGCGTTGCTTAGCGACGGAGCGGACGACTTTAGTGCGAGTGACGAGGAGATAGGCATCACGCCTGTACAGGCACGCGCCACGCAGGGCACGCGGTTGCCACGTGTGTCGGGTGAGGACCAGCCACACAGCAGGGATGTGTTGTTGTCAGATGCGAGCATGGCGGTTGGAGCACGCGGAAAACAGCGCGTGGAGGGTTCATTGGAGGAGGGTGGCGCGCGCGATGGGAATGGCGCGATTTCATTGGACGAGAATGCGAGTGGTGCCATGAGTAACAGGAGGGCGCAGAGGACCAGTAGTGCGACGTTGGGACAGAGTGACAGGAACAACTCCAACAGCACACACACGGACAAGACACCCGCCCCGGAGAAAACGGGACAGGGCCGCGAGGAGCCTCACCCACTCGCCAGGGACCAAAACATACCCACACACCCGCGCACGAGGCATACAATGGGGTCTGTAGATATGTCAGAGACTTCGCATACGACAGACGATAAGCATCTGACTCATTGTAATGAGAGGGTCAGTGGTACACAGAGGGGATCGCACACAGCACCCACCGGTCCTATCGTCCAGGTCCAGGACAGGGAAGGAGATGGTCTCGATAGGCACGCTGGCCGAACCTCGGCGGGAGAGGCAGATGCTGGAAATGCACGTGCACACCAGTCAGAGACCTATGCTGTGGAGGTTACAACCAGGTCCACAGCCATACCGAGCAGACCTTGTGGTTTGGACAGGAGTTATGTTATAGGGGGGCTAGATAACACGGACGCAGGATATAGTAGGGATGGCTGCCCTCAGGCTGAGCCTAAAGGGTCTGGACGCGGCTTAGATAACCCGGTAGAGTTAGATGCCGAGGGGACGTTCACGAAGCACGCCTCTCAGCCAATAGAAAGCCAGGATCTATTCACAGCCACGCAGCAGCCAATGAGATGCGAGGATTTTTTCACGTCCACCCCCCTGGATGTGCCGGTGCAAGGCGCATCTGAGAGTCACCTACACACGGAGAAGGGTAGTCAGGAGGAACTGAGCATGATGTCCGGCATTGCCGTTAAAAAGGAAGCCAGCGCTGAGGTGAGCACGACCTATGTCCGTGTCATGAGGCTGATTTGCATATGTTTGTGTCATGTGTCGTAACTGGCATGTTGGTTTCAGCATAAACGGTACGTGAATAACGTAACGTCTGCGGGAAATCAAATGGATCGCTAGGCGGTCTAGTTGCCCAGTTGATCTTAGTGACCAAGCATTGCCTTTGCACAGACTGAGTGGGTATCCTTGTTAGCCCAACGATGGGTGCGGATGCAGCTGGAAGTTTTAAACACATCTGGGGTACATATGATATATCACTGTGTTTGTCTGTGACTATCACGTTTGTGCGTATTCACACATACCTTCTTTCTAATACCACACAGCCACACCACTTCGACCCGCTTTCGCAAGACATGCCCAGCAGCCGGTCTGAAAGATTGGTCTGTCCAGCGCACTCCACCGGTCGTAGAATAAAGTCTGAGGGCAGGGTATGTGGTTATTACATATATACTCGTATATATATATATATATACTTGTATATATATATTTATTTATGTATAACTACTATATATATATATATATATATATAGTTTCATACAGCAAAAATTCTTACGCACTATCTACTACAAAAAGCCTCTAATCCAACATTCATGCATCCGCATATACCTACCTACCTACATATCCAGGATGCGAATATCAAAGAGGAACAGCTCTCCCCCTTGATCTTCAAAGCCAGCCACGCTAATAGTGCGCACGGGTGCCCATCGCCCGCCTCCATGGCCAACGAGAGGGACCCATTAGACGAGATACTGACACACACACAGCTGCATGCACAGACACATGCACATACACTCACACAGACACATGCACATACACGCACACATATCCTTCACTCCACACACATGCCTACACGTATGGACATCCATAGACCAGAACACACACACACACACACACACACACATACACCGGCGCGGAGAGGTGGGGTACCGAAATGTTCTGCTGAGAAGGGCGAAGACCCAGAGGACGAGTCTACCATGTCACCGTTTACACAGTCGCAGCCATCGCAGCCGTCTTCAAAGTCGCTTTCATTCGATGCCATGGACATACAAGCAGGTAGAGTATATATATATATATATATATATATATATATAGATATATCTTAGCCAATGTACACGAGAGAAGGTTGCACCTTATGGAATTTAAACATCGAAAACAACAGACACATCAATTACACTCTACCGTTCATGATTGTTTCGCTGACTGGCCACAGATGAGATTAAGTGTATGCGCAGGCTTACTATCTTCAAACTTTTCTATCTCTTCTTTTAACAAAAAATTGTGCTATAAATAGGACAGCGGCCTGCTACTTCACCAGCACTGCGTCAGTCCTTCAATGTGTCGGGTATTGCGAGTTCACATTCTCAGCCAATAAACAGCAGACAGTCAAACCACCAGTCAGGTATGTTGCAATATGGGAAGTATGTAGAAGAAGAACAATGTAGCTATATACATACGCGTGCCCTTTCCGGTGAGTTTGCATTCAGATGAGTGTCTGCGAAAATTCTTGTGTAGCTTACTACAGTGTTTGTAACCTACCACAATTAATCCACAGTGGGGCAGTTATTACGTCTCGTATATTGCTGTATGTGTATGGGTATGATACTGATTCTATACTAGCGGTTTTGTGCATCAGTATAAAATGCACCTACGCGAGCAATAATTGTGCAATATAGATACGCGTACTTAATATATATATATATATATATATATATATATGTGTGTGTGTGTGTCTATATCTATATCTATATATATATATATATGTGTGTGTGTGTGTATGTGTGTGTTTGTGTGTGTATGTATGTATGTATATATAAATATATATATGTGTGTGTGTGTTATGATGTGTATTGTGATATATGTTGTGATATATACTGTGATAACTACAGCTAGGCAAGTAGATCAACCAGCTTACCTACTATCAAGGTCAGATTGTCAAGGTCACGGAATCGCACTCCATGCACAAAAACACACAACAATCGTAGCCCGTGCGTCTAGGTATACGTTTACGTCCAGGTATACTTATACGTCTAGGTATACGTATACGTTTAATTATACGTATACGTCCATGTATACGTATACATCTAGGTATGCGTATACGTTTAAGTATACGTATATGTCTAGGTATACGTTTACGTCCCGGTATACGTATACGTCTGGCTATACGTATACATCTAGGTATGCGTATACGTTTAAGTATACGTATATGTCTAGGTATACGTTTACGTCCCGGTATACGTATACGTCTGGCTATACGTATGGATGGATTTACCACCCAGCTCACTTGTACACCCTTACGCGCCCATTCCCACAGGTAAGCATGCGGCCAGTCAGCAATCGGGTGTGTCACACACCTCACACGCCTCGGACGACGTATCATTCCTGCACATCAATGCGGGCCAGGGCAAACCTCCACAGCACCAATCTGGAGCGAGTCTACAGTCACCGTCACAGTCCCATACTCTCTCACGTCCACACTCGAGCACGCACCGAGTTTCTGGGGAAGTAGTAAGTAGTGTTGAGTATGGCAGTGTGCGGCTAGGGAGCGTGCCTGAGAAGTTGGAGAGTGCGCATACGAGTGTTAGGGATGCAGGCAACACACACAGTGGTGGGTCGGACGAGTTGGATGACGAACACAACGCGCAGGTATCGATATATATATATATATATATATATGTGTGTGTGTGTGTGTGTGTGTGTATA